ATCATCGAAATGGATTTATGATGTGGACAAAAGCTAAATTATTATTTTTTGAATTAGGGATTAATCATAAGCTAAAAAATATCTGACTTACGTGGCAAGCCTGGAATTGACTCCTCTTCATGAGATCCATGTGCTTTATGTCCGTGTTCTGCCTCTTCTCTCACATGTTCATTATGTGTATGTTGATTTTGGCTTGTTAAACCCAAAAGTGATGACAGTTCTGAAAATGGGTCTCCTGCATGAGATGCGTGTTCATGATGTCCAGGAAATAGACTAGGGAAGAATCCATGTCCACCGTGTTCATCTCCCTGACCAAAAAGTATAGAGATTGGATCAGTTCCGTGATCTCCATGACTGTGTTCTGAATGCCCATCATTATCATGATGATTTGGAGGTGAAAGCAGGGCGAAGAATGGATCCTGCGTATTCCCATGAGGCCCCGCTCCTAGAAGTCCTCCTAATCCTGGAAGCGCCTCTCCACCATTGTGTCCGTGACCGTCGTGTGCATGATGACCCCGGCTCCCAACACTTGACAACCCTCCATGTCCCGTGTAGGACTCCAAAGATAACGAGTTCTCCAGTTCGTGACTATGATGGGTGTTCTCCTCTCTTTCATGATCCCCATCTGAGTGATAATGAGGACTGTGTGAACCGAATTCTGCAACTTGATGGAAAGCTTCCTCGTGCGAGTGAGGTCCTCCCAATATGTGAGGTGACAAAACCTAAATTATTACATGAAATTTGTTTGCTCAAATTCTTTCATCTACCTACTTCAATAACCATCTTTTCTGGACTTTTGACACGAGGTGATAAGACGTGGGGACTTAGCACTAGCACAGATGCTATCTCAGCAGATCCTACGTAGGGTGAAAGGATACCTGAAGAAATAATGCAGGACTTAATTGCTATTTTGCCAAAAGTAGCAAATCACCAGGACTGAGAACTTCTACGATTAACGCCATAGGTGAAAGCACTCTGGGATCAAGGAATCGTGGCGAAAGAACCTCAACCAACTAAAGTGCTTAACTTTGATTTCTGTTTAATTTTGCTATAATTCAAAGTGTCTTACAAGAGCTTCAGGACTGAGAACCCATGCGTGAAGAGCTCGTGGTGAAAGCACTTCGAGACGTAATGCAGTAGGCGAAAGTATTCGTGCAATAAGAGCGTTAGGCGACAAAACAGCGCCGATGAAGGCACGTGGGGATAAGGTTTCTTGCTAAAATCACAATTTAATTCGTAGGACATTTTTTCTTGTTTTCAATTCATCCCAAGAAGGCTTACCCGAAACGCTCTCGGAAATAATATCTCTGGAATGAATGCATGCGGTGATAATGTGACTACTTCCAATGCTGCACCAAAAGAAA